TGTAGTTTGATTTGCCGCTTCTCGTTTCCATTTTTTTTTCCTGTCCCACTCCCTGACACCAATTTGTTACGTCTCCGTGTGTTAATTAATTTTCCGTAACTTCGTTTCGACGAAACTTAAGCGACACAAGTCTTTACTTAATAAAACTGGTTTATTCTTTCCGAATATAACTTTACCGATACACTTAACTTCAACAATCGCGCTAAAACAAACGCTAATCAACGAACGTCAACAATACTTCTGACTGCAGTTCAATTACTCACTATCTACTCACACGCATTACATTCCCCTCTTTTTTATACCAACCCACCCTATATCTAGTAAGAACTAGAACATTCGCCAAAGTACATGATAGTTCTAGAAACGTTGCGTCACAGTAGTCATGTGACTCGATGACGCAACAATATATATAAACCCGGCAAATAAAGCGAGATAATTAATTGCAGATAGAGAGATACAGAGACAGATAATTGAGTCAAGCGAGCAGTAGTGACTATAAGTAAAGTGCGTGAATCGTTGTGAATTATAGCGTGTATTTAAGTTAAAGTGACTGTGGAAATTCTGTGTATTGCAAAGTTGTATTGAAAAAGAATAAACTAGTTTTATTTAAGAAAGGACTTGTATCGCTGAAGTTCCTCGGGAAGAATTTATACCGGAAATTAACAAACGATCAGAGACGTAACAATACATATGTGTCATGTCAAACTAGCAAGGTAAGAATGTTACTGCGTCAGTTTACATTATCTCAGAAGAAACATTATTTCGTTTTGATGAGATTGCTTTGTTGCTGCTCGTCTTTTATTATATTATACTGTGAAATTATGGAAGCCAGTAATTAAATCTATGATGATACAATCTTTGCCTTCGAGAGGATCTGGCCCGGCATGGTCAGGTGGTTAGGGCGCTCGACTCGCAATCTGTGGGTCGCGGGTTCGAATCTCCGTCACACCAAACATGCTCACCATTTCAGCCGTGGGGGCGTTATAATGTGACGGTCCCCTTATTCGTTGGTAAAAGAGTAG